TCAGTAACTGAACACAGACCAGCTCCATCACTCACATGAGACGTAAGTCCAAGGAATTCTCTGTCATTTAACATTTGTTCCTCTACAGATACTTCTTCTTTTGGGTTTTGCTCATGATTTGAATGCAACATTGGCATGATACCAGTATTGTCTCTGTTCATGCTATGAACAGGTAAAGAGCATTCGGGGAGAAACAAATTTGTCTGATTTTTTGCCTCCGGATCTATAGCTTGCTTTGCATTTAAGAAGGTTATTCCTATTTTATCAGATGTCTCAGTATCATCAAGAAGCTGAAAACTTGGAACCCTAAACTCTTCTACGCTCTTAGAAGAAATCCAGTCAGCATCAAAGACATTTTCAGACTGATTACATTCAGGAATATCTTGTGGCATATGTCTGCTTTTGATAGCATTCGCATACTCATCATCTCCTTCTTGCTGTCTTTCTTCTTCACTTGTACGTGCCAGACCAATACATGTTTCCTCGGAAAAATCTGGTGAAGTTTTATATTTTCCAGTCCCTGGAAGTCTGCCAGTCCCTGGAAGTCCCTGGTTGGACTGGAACTGCAAACAATCCTCTGTCAGGGTGCTTAAAGAATGGTAACAGTTATCAATGTTCTGATTATTTTCATCACTATTTTTCATGTCTCCTAAAGGAGTGAACAACTGGCCACCTATATTTTTACATCGATGGTGTGAGTAAAAAACATCCATTTCTTCATCACTCTCCGATTCAGTATCAGAGTCATCATAACTATCATAATCCATATAGCCATAATCATAATCTTCCTCCTCCTGTGTTCCTTCAGATTCGTCCTCACAGGAATCTCTTTCTGCTTTCCTGTCACCTGCCTCATTTCCATCTCTTTCATACAGTAAGGAACTAAGGCCTCGCTCCTTAGTTCCTTCCCTATCCAGAGCAACTGGCACTGTTAGCTTTCTCTCTTCAGAACTCCTTGTTCTTTCCTTTTCCTCCTCAAGGTAGGTTTCCAAAGGTCTGGCACTTGTGGGAGCTGTATTAATGCCCTCAGACAGACCTGCCAGATTTAGATCCCCTGAATAAGGGACCCTCTCTCCAGCATTAGCTGCAAGATCTTGAAAAGAGCTGCTCTCTTCTGGATTTATTAGACCGCATCTCTCCTCTAGACAACCCAAAGGAACATTATCAGGCTCTGGTGTATCATCGTCCCCTAGCTCTGAACTATCATCATCCTCATCCTCATCCTCATCATCAACTTGGGGAGTATGGTAGACATCACTGTCGTCATCATCAACTTGAGGAGTTTCATAGGCGGCGTCATCCTCCTCCTCCTCATCTTCATCAATCTGAGAGCTGTCATCTTCAGAGTCTCCCTCATCCCATTCCCGGTGCAAGGGTTTACTCTCAAACTGTGGGATGCCATCACTCTCTTCTAGTGATGAATCAGAACTGCTGTCAACCTGCTGTAACTTATGAAACGCAAGATTGGCTTCTTCTGATGCTAGCCTTTGTGCTGGGCTGCTACCACCGCCCGCAAGGGCTCCATCACATCCAAAAGCACTGCCAGCTAACAGGGCCCTGCAGTGCCTCACGCTGCTCTCTTCTGCACACAGCCTATCCTGCACATCAGTCCAATCCTCCAAGGTGGGACTGCCAACACCTGCTATGGATGGCCTGTGATGTGCATCAGCGTAGTCCTGGAGAGGTTCCTTGCTATATCCACTGTCTTCAAATCGTAGCATGTCAACTATCTGCCTTCCTAAATCTTTACAAGCAAGGTCTTCTGGAAAGCTATATTCCATATCTGCATGTATGGACAAACTAAGACTTCCCTGGAAGTCATCTCTCTGGCTGTTATCGGGTAACAATCCGCTATCATCAGCATGTAAAATGTGAAACGTGCATTCCGTGCACCTTTCCAGATCTCCTGGGGCTTCATTAACTGACCAATCATTCGCACACCAGTCATTTTGTAAGGCTGTATAACTCTTGTTTTCCTCATCCAGACTGCCTGGCATGCACATATTATTTTCTTCTTCTGTTTCTGAAATGAAATTTTGCTGTGGCTCCTTTGGAAGATATCCTTCAACATCTCCCAAATTTCCCTCCTGATCCTTAGGCTTACACACCTGTAACTCCGTCCATTCAGACTGCTCCAGAAGACTCGTGAGTGCATTTCTGTTCACAGAATTTTGACCATTACCTCCTGTATTTCCATCTTCTGTAGGTTTAGCTAACAAAATCTCCTGTGTATATCCTGATTGCTCAGTAATAGTATTACAAACATCAGGTCTACATACATGAAAGTCTTTTCCCTGTGAGTCTTTATTATTCCCCACATCTTCCAGATCTATTAATTTCCTGCCATTAGAAGCATTCTCAGCACCTGAAAGCTCACCCTGGACATTGCTTGTGACATTACTGAAAGGTACACTGCTAACTGAATGCAGATTATTTCCTTTGGGGCTTATGTATTTGTTACTAAACTCCATTTCTGACACATCAACGTTGTATGCGTCACCTTCCACTAATATATTGATGGCTTCCTGCAGTTCTCCATCATGTAGTAATAGTCTTCCTCCAGTGTTTGCATCCATGTAACTATTTACCATTAGATACGATATAAATAATTTCTTAGCTTGGTCCAAACTGTGATGACATCCATGGTCTTCTTTGCCAGAACCTTCTTGTTCCTCCTCTGCATCACGCAACACAGACGGCTGAAGCTCATAGGTTGATAACCATTTTACAGCATTTTTACCTGGAGATTCTAATTCTTCTACATTAGGCATTTTATCTGGTAAAGTCACACTGTTCAAAACAGAGAGAGTCTTTAGGTCTATTATCCCTGACTGCGCAGCTGTATCTAGACCGAGGACTTCACAGGTTTCTGGAATGTAAAGCGCAGCTATTTTCTGCCTACCATTTAGTATTTTGAAAGCCAGCTCGTTTGTTATCATCCCTTGATGCAACGAAGTTGATATGGGGAATATTTCACCAGTGTGAGGCCAGATGAGGCCAACAAAGCCTTTCTGAGCTTCTAACACCAATAATGCACTGGTAGATGATATCAAGTTGCACTGCACAGCTTCGTCAACTGTCAAGCGCTTGCCAGAATTTGGGCAGAGGATGCCACCAGTCTGAACCTGATGGGTGAGAATCCCACAGGCAGTGTCCTGATCAATCATCCCTTGCCTCATGGCTTCTTCCACGGTCACTCGTTTCCCTGAGTCGGCGTCAATTATCCCTCCAGACACTATCTGAGCTCCCAGCAGCCTGAACATGGTTTCCCGATCAATGAGTCCTTCATGGGCTGCCCTCAGGACAGTGATCTTCCTTCCACATTTCAGTGTGATTCTGCCTTTTTCTTGGGGTTTCACAGGTAAGAGCCTTAGCCCTGTTTCCTCATGTATTATGCTTCTATTAACCATCTGTTCAAGGGAAACTTTTTCAGCAGAGTTGGGATCTATGAGATCTTTGCACGTGTCTTGTCTTTCCAGAAGCTTGGCATATAATGTTGGAGGAATCAGATTCCTCTGGAAAGCCTTCTGTAAAGTCAGGTTTTCTCCAGTAGATGGCAAAATTAAGTGCCCACTTGAAAGCTGATTCTCAAGAATTTTAATGGCCAAAGACTCTGAAATTAGACCTTGATCTAAAGCTGATACAACTGGAAGATTTATTAGTGATGATTCTGAAATAAGCTTCTTTGCATTACTTAATTCCTGCAATTGCAACATTGTCTGCTCATCAATCAGGGCATGAGCTTTAGCTTCTTCCAGATCATAACATACTCCTAACTGTGGAGAAATGATTCCAGATAGAATCAGCTGATTCTCAAGCAATCTAATTCCAGTGCCATAGTCAATAAAACCTTTTAAAACAGACTGAAAAACTGAAAAGACTTCTCCAGTTGTTTGGTCAACGATACCAGCAATGACATTATTCACCTAAAAAGGAATATGAAAAAAAAAAAGGTATCAGTACTTTTAGCTTGTATATTTTAAATTTTCTTTTGCTTTTGAAAGCATGTGAAGCATAAAAATATGTACTTACCAGTACTGGAGAAATGCTGTGAATGTTAGCAGCTCAAATGCGCAAGTGATCTATGTCAGTCATTCAACAGCACACGATGTGATAAAAGATTTAGAATCAACATGCATCTGTGAATTGAAAACTTATGCTTTGCACACACAAACAGAGTTAGTGAAAGAAGAATAGATGACTGCAGAGTGAGCAAACTGAGGCTATTCCTGAAAGGCAAATTTTCATGCTCTAAATGTCTGTGAAAGGTTAGACTGTTTGGAAACAGTATGTGATACAAAACCACCATGCTATTCATGTTTACAGCATACACCACTTCTGTATATACACTCAACAATAGGGAAACAAATATTCTAGCACCAACTATTGCATTTAGTTTGCGTGGAAAGCATGTACTCAGTTTGGCAATATGATTTAGACTAAATTAACAGTCACTGCCTCTATATGTATATGAGTATATTCATTCACAATGCACTTTTAGAGAATTCTGTATTTAAGTTTGAGATCCACTTACAGACATATTTGTAATATCTCAGAGGTAAACACTGTCTGTGCTCCAATCCATATTCCCAAGTTTTTTTAGGAAAAAAGTGTGGTTATATAACTTTTGGGACATTTCCAAATGATAAATGTGAGAGATTAACATGTGATTTTATGGTGTCATTTTTGCAGCGAAACGTAAGACTTATTTAGCGGTCAAAGGATGGCTTGAAAGAGAAGAGTTAAGAGATGAATGTTTTATCTTTCTTCATGCAAGGCACACAGTATTAAGATTCCTCACAAAAAATCTGATGAGCAAAATGTTCATATGCACACATAGGGTTATACAGTTCACCACACCAACTACAGAAAACCTTTAGTTGAATAAAAGTGTGTTCTCAAGTTCCATACAGGCTGTTAACCTTCACTGCTCATATATTGTTCCACAACATGCAGTAAAAATCAAAAAAGCCTGAAATGTAAGTTTTCCATCTTATTACCTTTTCTTCCATCTTTTCATCACTCAAATACTGTGCTTCCTGCAGTTGTTTCAGAGCTTCATTGGATAATAAGCTGTAACTCTCCTGGAGGGATCTGACTTGCTTTTCCATTTCATTTCTCTCTTCATCTGTCATTCTATTAAAAATAAAATAAACAAATAAATACATAAGAGAGAGAGGAAAGGAAAGAGTTCTGAGCACTTTTTTTTAAACTTCAGGGAGTGATCTGTGAATCTTTATTTTTTAAAAAGGAGAAAAAAATCACGCCTACTATAGTATATATTATAATGGATGGTAAAAACACAGCTGGATATAAAAAATACAGCTTAGTTATGAACATGTCCCAGAAAACTATAACTACTGCTTGTAGCTGTACAGGAAAAGCAGCTACATTAGTCAAAAATTTACTTGATTTACAAATCATCACTAGAGATAATGGACTGTCACTTGTACATGCCTCTCTCTACAATTTACCAGTCAAGACAAGTAGCAAAGATATCACAGTAATTTAGTATCTTAAATAGGCTGATTTCAGAGACAGATGAAACAAACCTGTGACACGTAGTTCAAGCATTAAATTACTACTACTGTTAATTATTTTGACTTCAAATATAAGTTGCTGCCTAATGTTTTTTCAATCTGATCAGAGATATATAATTCCTAAAATAAAAAGTCTAATCTAGGTTTTCCCAAAATGAAAAGACAAAATTGTAAAACTGAGAAAAAAGTCACTTTCATATGTAAAATATAATAGGCATTATAAGATGACAATGAGTTCTTTTCAAGCAAACACTATGTGCTGATTCATTTACATTATTTGAAAATTAATAAGCATAGAAATGGCATACTTGTCACCATGCTTGGCTAAAAATGACTGAGTGGTCTGCAGAGCTTCAGCTATTTGTTCCTTCTTGGTTGACACTTCATCCAGGGAAATCTGAAGAATAAATAACCTAAGCTTAAGACTTAGTTAGGCACACATGTTGAAAAAAACATTACATTTTCACTTAATATAAAACTGTATGGAATAAGAACTCGCATTTTAAAAAAAATACTGGCTATTACCAATATTGTATTATTCACTGTGGCAGAAATAATATATCTCACATATAGATAAGTCATTAAACCTTCTGGTTTGATAAGCTGTTTGTATCAGAGAACTACAGAGAACTACTTGTCAAGACAAATAGAATTTATTTTAAAATGTCATTTGCTTAAAACTTTACCATAGCACTTAACTAATTTAAAATAATTTAAAATCAATTATGACTACTGTTGATGCAGTTTACAACATTTTTAGAAAGAGGTGACTATAATAGTCCTATTCAAGAAGTCATTCCCTTCTCAGGATGCAAGATATTAACTTAAAACTCTATCACAGCATTTCATGAAATTCAGTAACAGACATACACAATACCAGAAGTATTTTTTAAATATTCTCCCCATGATAATTTCTGTGGCATTTCTGCTAGAGCAGTGGTTCCAGCAGAGGAATTGGCAAGAACTTCACCTTTGCTTTTGAACATTTATGAAGAAGTGTCTGCAGTTTCTTCACACAAAAGAGCTACCCTGGCTTTGGCATGACCAAAATGCCACGTCTCCAGGAGGTACCAAGAGCTGGCTTGAACAAGTGCCATGCAGGTGCTGAAGCACCCCAAGGAGATGTTCAGGTGCCACGTTCAAGCAGGTGAAACATGGCCTGGCACATTCAGTCCTCGTGCTCCCAGCACCAAAGGGGACGAGTCTTGGAAACAGTCTCCCTTTGCTGGCAGCACCAGCGGGCCGGTTTCCCACCACCTCATGCCTGGGCAGGGTGAGCAAGCCCGGGATGTCATATAGACACCTGAGGAAGGCCTGAGGCAGCGGGGTGGGCGGGAGCTCCATTTGCTATGGGAACACGATGGCTGCTCCATGCACCCTCTCACTGCGGGCAGCAGCCCCTCCTCAGCTCACCCATAAAACCCAAACCTGTGTGTGAAACCTCTTTGAGCTAACATTAACTATCAAGTCAACAGTCCCGCACATCTCCACACAATTTTCCAGGCATCCCTGCTAGCCAGTGAGGACACGCTAAGCCCTGCTATCTCAGTAACTGTGCTATCTCACAGGCCCACTTCAGAAGAGAAGGAAGCACCAACTGGAAATGTCCATCTCCTCTGCTGGGGGAACGGAAAGCCAAAGGAGGTGAGAGGAAGCCAGGACAGCTAAGTTATGGCTAATTTTCTAGGGGCTCAAGGTGGGGCTCTGGAGCAAGACGCCATCAGACCTAGGCAGGTGGCAATACCTTAAGGAGTTGACTGCTGGCTGAATGCTCACAAGGATTTTCACCGTTGTCTTTAACAGGAGCAAAAAAAAGGCCAGTCCTGAACGTTTTTTTTTAATATCTCAGTCCTAAATATACTTCCAAATCACTAAAAACATACTTTGTCCTACAAATAGAGGCACAAACTCAGTGGTTCTGCACCACAGTGTGAGCAGAGCCTGCAGGGGCGCCCAGCAGCCTGGCGCTGGCGGCAGCGTCACTGCCTGCCGGGGCTGCACGGGCGGCCACACCAAGCTTCATTCCCAGCCCCTCTGCTCCGGCCTCTCCAGCTGGCACCAGGGCGTGAGACCAGCACAAGCACAGGCCAAGGTTGCTTGAAAGATGAGCTAGGATCAAGTCTGCTTGACCACATGTCTGCATTTTTGTACCTGATCTGCGTGCAGGGAGAACTTTACTTACTGAAGTCCTTTCAGGTATTTATTAAGGTTTATTTTTGTTGTGCAGGCCTATAGGGATGGGGTGCAGTCTGAAGTGATTTTGAATTTCACAGGTGGAAATTTATGGTTGGAGGAACAACTGCACACAACAGCAGGAACACTATCCCTGTTAAACACAAGGCAGGCAGCACAGGCCACCCAGCAACCTGTGCACGACTGTGACAATAAAGGGGGCTCAGTCACTACCCTCTATATTCCCTTCCTTGCTAAGGCAAGTTACCTGCTCGGCTGAAGTCTTTCAACTACCATCTCCGGAGCCCCTGACAGGAGGGGTCCTCAGGGTAACATCTTTTTAAAAGCCAGCAAAAAGAAAGCCAGTTCCTGGGCACCTCCAGCCAGCTCCCTCCTTCGTGGCGCCCAGCTGGGAGGTACCAGGCCCAGTTCAGTGAGTAACACTGAGCTGCGCCAGGATAAGGGAGCACACGGGATGCCCAGTCCCTCTACCAAGGCCATGCTGTGGCGTGCAGGGTAAGGCTTTCCCTAAAACTCCTTACACTCCAAGACTGCTTAGGCAAGTCTGTCTTTTCAGCCTGTTCTCCTCCTTTGATACAGTGTTTTGCTGAGGTTGGACACCCACTCCAGCAGAGCCCCAGCTTTCTCAACATCGCCTCCACATGAGGTTTTGCACCATTACTACCATGTTTGTGTCCCAAAACACTGATGTTCATTCACCTAACACACCCCTTACAAGCAAACATTGAAGGACATCTTTAATTAGATGTGGATATTGATTTGGGGGAAACAAAGGCATTTATGGAATATTTACACGTTTTAACACAAAAAGCTGAGAAGAGGAAGTGGTATTCTATGAAATGACATCTGTGTACCTGCTGCTTAGGCAAGTCTGTCTTTTCAGCCTTTTCTCCTTCTTCTTTGCCGAGTGTCGTGCTGAGGTTTGACACCCATTTCAGTAAATCCCCAGCTTTCTCAACATGTTCTTTCTTTTCTTCTTCCATTGACTTCTGATGAGTAACGTGAATCATAAAGAACATATAAATCGTTGAGATATTTACCATTAACATCCACAGAAACACAATTCTATGGTAATATCAGTATTCCCACATAACCATAATTTCCTTTTATTTATTCACCACATGCATTACGGTGACACTTTGATGTAGGAACAAAAATGTCATGCAATTATAGACATTAACAGAATAATTCCTCCTAGAGATTTGTAAAGATTATGATTATGGTGCTTATTCATACACATGTACAGTCATTATAAAATGATTGATATTACAGAAAAAGCACAGCTTCTCAGCCATTAATCAACAGATAAAATCCAAACAATGTTTGCATACAAAGAATATTTGAATTGCTGCCTTTGCATTACCCTCAAGTGTGTATATGTACAACCAGCACAGGATACCAATATTTTGCTATCTATGCACATGGATTACTAAATTACAATGAAGAACATACTGCTTTTACACCTATTCAAATAAGGACAAGGCAAATAAAATGATTTAAGGAAAAAAAAATCCTTTTCCTCAGAGGAAAATATGTTTTTTGTCCAGTTTTTGTCCAGACCTGAACAGGTCCAGAACCTGTTAGCAATCCAAGTTTATCAGCACTTGGAAAACACACTTAAAACTCTCCCTGAATCACAGCTAGAAGTGAGGACATTTTGTTTCAAGGAATATTTTTAAACTGGGCATGTAACTGAATTCCCTACTAGAATCTGAAGCCTCAATTCTAATTTTCCACAGAGGCCAAAGAGATCACTCCCCTGGCCCAGGGGACAACAGATTTCAGACGGGGCCCTGGCATGAGTCTCACTGTCTTTGCTCCACTATGAGGCATAGTAAAGACTGGAAATTCCTGCCTTCAAGGGCTGAGCAGCTTCCAAGAGGCGCAGCCCAGTGTGACAGTCAAAAACGGCTCTCTCCAAAGCCTCCTTGTAGGTCAACTTCTTCTTCGTTTTGGGGCATGTTATAAATTTAGCATATAATTTTTCATCTTTCAGTTTTGTAGCCGTGATAGAATCAATAACACCATTCTTAATGGCCTCTTCCATGGATAACCTGGAATGAGATTTTGGATCTATCAGGCCGCCAGTCAAGTACTGGTACTGGAGGCAGCGGCCACCCGTTTCCTTGTCCAGGACATTGACATTCATCGCTTCGATAGCTGACATAGCCGTCTTCCTCACAGGGTGAATGATCCCAGTAAAGACCAGCTCACACTGCTGAATTTGCTTGGCACAACCATCATCTATTAATTCCCGCTGCAAAGCTTCTGAAATGCTGTACCTCTTCCCAGTAAACGGATCGATTATGCCCCCTGTACTGATCTGAGCCTCGAGACACCGGAGGGCAGTAATTCTGTCTACCAGGTTTTTGCGTGAGGCCTTTAAAACTGGAATTCTTTCATTGGTTTCAGAAAGCCAAAACCCTGCGATGGGACTGCTTAGGTCTTTATTTGTTTGAGAGCTGCTAGCTAAAATGTCACCAAACTCAATGGCTGTGATGAGACCTTCCTTGTATCGATCAACTAATGCTTGCTCAATTCTACCCTGTTTTAAGGCCTCCTCAATATTAAACTGTACGCCAGTTTTAAGATCAGTAAGTAAAAGAAAAGAATTCCCTTCGGAATCAAAACATGTAGACTCTTTCCAATCAAATTCCTGCTTTGAAAGTTCAAGATACGTGGCTTTATCAACACAGTTTTTTTGGTAAGCCTCATACGAGGTCATTTCAGCCCCTTTTTTGATGTCTACGACAGAAATTTTATGACTTTTATCTGCTGATGGGCTGCTTATTTTCCTTTCCCCCACTGGAAGGAGAAAGCATTTACTGTTCACACTGAACACGCACATTTTCAGCAGATCACAGTAGTACATAGCTTTCCTGTCATTGGGATTGTGGAAGCATTTTGCATTGCTAGAAGGTTCGTACAAGAATTTTAAAACTGTGTTACTAATCAAGCCAAGCTGCACGGCGATTTCTGGAGGGACACGGACACTTCTTACGGGATCAATGACTCCTCCACTTGCAATTTGGGCCTCAAGGATATTTTTGCCTTTTTGCCTTTCTAGAAGTCTAGCTTCCATAGCCTGATACACAGATATTAATTTACCAGAACAATAATATCCCAAAACAGCCTTTTCTGCCTCGAGCAATCTACTCCGGAATTCGGTATCTGCAAGCCCTCTAGCAAGTGACTCATCGACAGAGAATTTCTGACCTGTGGTGGGGTCAATGATGAAACCAGTAGCTGCCTGGGCTTCCAAAAACGCTAATGCTAATGCTTTTCCTATGATTTTCCTCTTTGCAGCTACAGCAAAAGAGAGAATTTCTTTGCTGGATTCAAGGTACAGTCCAGCTATCGCTGTAGGCTTGGTTAGAAAGTTTTCCAGACTTTTCTGAACCTCATCGATAGTCTTCTGCCCTGAAGAGAGCTGCTCAACAGTGAGCCTGTCCAGAAGTTTAACTTCAGCTAACTGTCTGGCTGTTACATCATGCCTGAGACCCTGAAACTTAATATCAGCACCCTCCCCCATAAAATATTCCAGCTGAGTAGCATCATGGACAGCTTTCAGAATCTCTTCCCCTACGAAAGAACTCATGTTTGCAAAGTCTTCTCTCCTAAACCCTTCAGATGTTTTGCATCCCTCAAACATTCTCTCTTCGTTACCAAAAGTCTTGTCATTTTCTTGTTTTAATGTTGTAACTTCAACATGCATGTCATACTGCTTGTTCTTCACTCTCTGTAAACAGGAATTTTTTGACACAGTGAGAAAAACCTCTGGAGAACTATATTGCACATAATTCAATCCCAAATCCACCACCAGAGAAACTGCATGAAGAGTGTGAGCAGGAGTCAGAAATGAGAAACGTTATTAGCGATGGAAAGCACAGACATACAGTTAGCTGGAGTTGTGAAATGTATTTGCCTTTTCAAATATTTATTCAATATGAGGAATGTGGCAAGACAAAGCAACAATAACTCTTCTGGGTTTGTTACAATATAAACTTAGTGCTATTAATCAAAGTTTATTTTGACCATTATCAGTATCAAATCCTATTTTGAACGCAAGCATTTAAAAATAAATAATGTGCTTGATATGTAAACAAGCTGCTGTAAAGGTTTAATAAAAATCTTGGTGTTGTGTAGGAGTGAAGTGGCGCCCTTCACCAAGGCAAGAACATAAGAAAGAACACAGAATAGGTAAAAGGAATACCTAAAAAACCCCGTAGAGACAGCACTAGGGAGGCAAACGCTCACAAAATGTAGTGTGTACCTCCAAGGGATGCAGTTTTACTAATCCTAATTCATGCTTCATGTCTTCTCCACATCTAACAGTTTGCCTGGAGCTGTGGAGGTTTATGTCTCTCCGCTTGTCTATTTCTGAGATGCCAGTAATTTGGCTGGCCTTGTCAAAAGTGATCTGGAACTGCGTGCTTGTCTGAGACACAAACTCCGTGAAGGACTGGGGACTCGCATCCTCTTCCAGGGTTTGGTTGATTCTTGACATCTGGAACTGCACCTCTCTCGGTACCGCATCATCAGTGCTCACGTACACTGTGTTTTCCTCTGTTTGACCAGATTTAAAACCTGCTCTCTCTTGTTTCTGCCTTAACAGGGGTGACCCAGGCTTTGCGTGCACATGGAGCTGCTCAAAATCCCTGGCCGAGGGCTCATTCAGGTAACTAAAATCATTTCCTTTCCTCTCACAGCTCAATTTAAACCCGGAATCTTTGGTATCGTGCTTTTGCTGGATTTCATTCTGAAACGAAAGAAACCTTTGCTCGCCCTCCCGGGGCTGCAGGTCCATCTTCTGTTTCAGGTTCTCAACCACGCGCTTCTGCAGCTCCAGCTCCTCCTCGAGCTTCCTGCGCTTCTGGAGCCAGTCCATTTCGGCCTGCTTGCCCTGCTGCAGCTGCTCACGGCAGCTCTTGAGCCTTTCTTGCAGCTCTTCAATTTGCATCTTGTACAACATGATGTTTTCCTCAGCCATGTTCTTTTCCTGCTGAAGAGCGACACATTCCAGCTTTATGCCAGAAATGTCTTTCTCTGTGATACTATGGGATTCGAGTAATTTTTCAACTTTTTTCCTAAATTCCTCTGCAGAGTGTTTAAACTTAATGGATTCTTCCTGAAACAGAACCATCTTTTTACGTGCCGTTTGTTCATCCAGGGTCTTCTGGTGGAGTTCATCCTGTAATTTTCTAAGTTTACTGGTTAGCTCTTGAACGTGAGCTTGCTGCAGTTGTATTTTCTGCTCGTTCACTGTCTTTTCCATAGTTAGAGCATTCACTTGTGCATTTAGATTTTTAACCTCCAGGCTAATGGTTAGGGTGGAAGCATTTTGCTTATCATAATTTTGTTTGTATTCGCTGACCAAGGCTTTCGTTTTTGCTAGCTCATCCTCCAGGCTTTTGACCTTACATATGAACTCTTGCTCGATTATTGTTTGCTTGTGCAACTGTTCGTTCGTCGTGCGCAGTTGCTCTTTGAAACCATCTGCTAGTGTTTTCAATGCATCGTTTTTCCTCTGAATACTTTGCTTTTCCAGATTGATCTTCTCTGACTCCATCTGAATTTGTTTCATGAGTAGTTTGGTGTCAGTATTCCATTTATTAAGCTCCTCTATCTTTTGCTTCGATGTTTCGGATGCCTGGGTGCTTTTGACTAACTTATCTTTCAGCATCAGAATTTCCTGCTGGTTTTCCTTCTCTGCTTTTGTTTTTTGAAGCAGTTGCTCCTGAAGGTTCTTATATTGCTCTTGAAGATTGCTCGCTTCTCCTTTGCACGACTGTGTTCTGTATTCAGCTGCCACCTTCTCTTTCTGAAGTGAACTGATTTGTGAATTTAGCTGCCTTATCGTGATTTCACTTTTGGCCTGCAATCTATTTAATTCCTCTATTTCTCTTTTCAGTTGCGTCTTTTCCTGCTGGGCAGATTTCAGCTCCTCCTGATAGTTCATCTTAATTTTCTTAAGATCTGTAGCTTCTTGCATCACCTCATCAGCTCTATCTGTTGTTCTGTGCAGCTGCTTCTCCAGCTCTCTCAGCTGTTGCAAATATCCCTGCTCTACTTGGTCTCTGTCCTCCAACTTAATTTTTAGGCACTTAAGTGCACTGTTGGCTTCATCTAATTTTTCTTTTAATAAGTTAGACTTTTCTTCTGCTGATGATTTCTGAAGCTCAATTGCATTCAGTTCATATTTCAGGTCTTTAATGGTTTTATCAGCTTTTCTGTTGGCAAGACTTAGCTCGTCTATCTTCTGTTTCAGCTCTTCTACTTTCTTTGCTTCTTGTTTATTCTGGAAACCTGCAATTTCAGAGTCAGTCCTACACTGGCTGTAAGTAGGCAGGACAGTTTCTCTAGTTACAGAATACCTGCCTTCAACAACCTTTCTTCTAGCTTCAGTCTTCTCCTTTTCTTTCAACCTTATTTCCGACAAATATCCTTTAAATTCAAGATCTTGTTCCATTTGCTTTATTATTTTCATGAGCTTCTCTTCTCCTTCGTTTTTTTTCTTCAGCTCCTGCATTAAGCACTTTTTTTGGTGCTCTAAATCATGAAGATTTGTGTCTTTTCTTCTCAGATGCTCCTCAAGGTTTCTTCTAGTAAAGGTGCTTTCCTCTAGCTGATTTCGGAAAGCCCGGAGGTTTTCTTCCAACACACTCCTCTGGGTGTCTGCCTGGAAAATGAGCTGCTTCACACGCTCCAACTCCTGCTTTGCCTCTGCTCTCTCTTTCTCGAGGCCCTCTCGGTCCGTACGACACTGTTGTGCCTCTTGCTCTGCTTTGTTCTTCTGCAGGCAGAGCTCCTGCATCTCCCTTCGCAGCTTCTGCTGCTCCCTTTCAGCAGCTTCCCTCAGCTTAGGGAGTTCCTGTTCCGTCTGGAATTTTTGTTTCTTCACATCCTCCAACGTCTCCTCAAGTGCTTTTATCTTTCCTACGAGTTTCCTGTTCTCATCAGTGGTGCTCTTCTGCTGTGCCATTAGATCTGAATATGCTTCCCGCACTGAGGCTTCCTTATCCTTTAAAATCTGTAACGGAATAAAAGAAGTCAGAATCAGCTTTGCACAATGCAGCACATGAAAAACGTTAGGCTCTTAGAAAAGCAGAGTGGAAAATACTTACTCATACACATACGTATGTCCACAGAGGAGGACGAGCAGTTCCCACCACCATCACCTTCTCTTCACACAGCAACCATTAGCCAAAGAGGAGACCCTTCACGACAGCATCCACTGAGAGAAGTCCTGCAGACCCTCGCTTCAGCCAGCGGCCTCCTAGCACTTAGCAGAGCAGCTTTTGCTGCACACAGTGAGCCAAACCAAACGTGCAAGCACAGGCAAGGAGAAGGTGGCTGGCCGGTTCGGGATTAGTTTAGGAGGAGTTGGAAGTATTTAATGCTTGCAAGCCAAAATCACACAGAGCAGTTCGCAAATCACCTCCAAGGAAAGGGACGGCATCAAGAGCTAGAGTCTAGACGCATCTCTCTGAGATGTGATCGGGGAGCATCCAAGCCCCAGCGCACACGGGCTCCTCAGCGCGCTCCACAGCCCTCCACAGGGCAGGCCCTGTTCCACGGGCTGCCACCTCTGCGGGTGGCAGCAAGCCGAGGAACACGCTGCGAACACGAGGCCTGGCAGCAGCCACAGCCCCTGACTCCAGGCACAGGTCACCTTCAGCAGCGCTGCTACCGCCTTCGACACCAAGTGTGGCCAGACCCCGTTCCTGTGGCCCTAACAATACGGCACGAGGGGAAATTCCAGCTTCTCTTTGCTTTTTTTGGTTTTTTTTTTTTTCCACAAACAAACCTTGCCTTAACAAGCTTAACAAATTTAACAAATTTACTTGATTTTTCAGATGGCATGTAAAACTTAATTCCTAAAAGGCTAATGCAAAGGCAGCTTTTATCACTTCCTCCGTATTTCTCTTTGTACCTCCATGTGGACAATTTTGAGCAGATCCCAAAAGATACGAAACATTCAGACTCATTTCTTAACAGAGTTTAAGCTCTCATGCACATGAAAATTACACATTATACTTGAAAAAAGACATTTGAAGATACCGACACAGACCCAAATTGTATATTTCTTTTTAGTTTCCACTATTTCTAATCAGTATGGCTGAGCATCAGCTGGATGGGGAAAAGGATGGCAAGTAAATAGCAATAAAAAATGAACACAATGAAAATATTTAAGAACTTAAAATCATTTATAGCATCTCAAAATGTATAGTAATTATATCATGAGTGTATTATTTAAATTATGTTCAATCAGATTTAAATCAGCTTGACCTTGGCATAATTGGAGATTCGAATGTTGATTTATATTGATTAAAATTATTTTTGTGTTAATTGATTTAGTTGTATTATATAAAAATGCTGGTACCTCAGTAATATCTGTGCTCCTTTTCTCTTCATTATCACTGGCAATCTTTTTGGGCCTTTCTTCTTTTTCAAGTGAGTATTTATCTCCTGTACTTTCACAGGCTAATTTCTGGAGTTGGCTGGTTTTTCTAAGCACATTTGTGCTATGACCTTTATCTTCACTCTCCATTTTTCCATCTAGCCATAAATCTTGGCCTTTCTGACCTTCTTCTAATTTGTTTTCTCCACTCGACTTGCTCACGCTTATATTTATGTTGTCCAAACAATAAATTTCACCGCGCAGGATTTTTTTGTTGCTTAATTTCTCATCGTGACTCAAAAGCCTTTTTCCTAACCCTTGTTCTGAAAATCCCAAATAATTTACTCCTCCAGAAATGAATTTGGAGGGGGCTATTTTACCACTTAGGCCACCTGCATTTCCCAACAATCCTACACTTAAACTGGCATCACTCTGCATTGGAGACATTTCTGAATTCAATGTATGTGACGGAGAGGTTTTTGCCACACGATGATTTTCTGCAATGTTCCCTGAAGATGTATCAGAAGTCCCTTGAATTTTACTCTTGCCTTTATTTGGATTCAGAGCTGATATTCCTAGGATCTTATTTTCTTCTGAGAAGCAGCTTTCCTGCAGAAACGCTCCGTGCACCTCGTCAGCATCCTTCTCTTCCCTCCCAGAAACTCCTGCCTTGCTCACTGGTTGTAAGCCTGATCCCCCTGGATTTGCACTTGCATTTCCACTGTGGGCTGCCAGTTCTCTGGAAGAGGATGCAACTTTTTCTGAAGGAACTGCACACCTCACAGCTGATGAGGAGCCAGCTTTTCCATCACCCACTTGAACCTCATCCTTTTCAGAGCTGAAGGTGTCGTGGTTACTGCTTGCTGAAAGGCAACGTCCCTCCTGCTGACTTTCAGAGCGCCTTCTTGCTGCCAAACACTGCTGCACATGAAGGCTGACAGCCAGGGCACGCTTCCCAGCTTCCGGAATAACTTCATCTTCCTGTGTGGTTAGCTCAAAATTCATCTCTGATTGCATTCCAGATTCTTCCTTTGCTGGAGCATCGCTCCTCACCTTTTGTGAAAAATAGTTTTCATTGCTTTTCCCCACTGTTTCCAGTTGGGATACTTTCTTTGATATTCCCTCTGTTTTCTGGCCGACTCCATTAACAATTTGCTGATTTAACCTTTCAACAGGATCAATGCTAAGACAGCTTGCAACTGCAACAAAACCATCTTCCGTGCCCTTTTCTTGTTCCTTACTTTGGCTGCCTAAACTATTGCCATGCACTGTCTGCAGCTTATTTTCTGCGTCATCACTAATGCCACTCTCTTGACTACTGAAATTTAAAAATTGTTTTAAGGCTCTGTCCATTTGGATTTTATCATATGTGTCTACCTGCATGTTTAGTTCATCTTCGGTACATGTCAATTTGCTGGAAAAGTTGTCTTTTTGCAAATATTCCACATCCATCAAGCTCTCATTAGCTGCGCTTTTCCCTCTCAGTTCACTCCCTTCATTGCATCCCAAATGTGCAAGGACTTCAGTTGGCTGCACAGGCTGCTGGGGTTCCCTCTCATCTGGTAAACTCTGAGCACGACAGCACACGGATTAGACTGAGATTTCAGGGAAAGGATGTTATTTCGTGTCTATTCTAAAGGCTGTTACTGAGAGTTAGGAAAAAGACTGACAGGAGAAAATCCTGAATGATCACAGGAGATTTCAGAGTTCTGATCCCAGGAAAAATAAAATATTATTCCCCCTTCGAAAAGGATTGTTCGTTTTCTGATTTGCTACCCTGATTACAGGTGAAGAGCTCATCAAAACACCTTGAGACTGGGAACATGCTGAGGTTATCTCCAAAGAAGCTATCAAACACTCAGAGCTTTGGGGTGTTTTGGTCTCATTGCCTCTTTTTTCTTTCCAAAAAAATAAAAGCAGTCCTGGGTATTGAGAAGAGACCCAAACTTGAGAGTTTAAAAGATTCCACTTGCTCCTCTGCAACATGAAGCCAGCCTGTCAGCCCTCAAAGGACACTGGCTCCCTCAATGCCTTGTTTCAGTTTTTAGTCTATGGCAGCATTAGTATTATTAGTGATATTAAATCCTCACTTACAAGGCTGCTTATTGAAAAGGTTTCTATATTTCCATGTGTATGCTATACCACCTTATGATATGTTAAAATCATCACTTCTGTCATGTTATTTCTGTCATTAGTTTGTTCTGAGGTATTTACCAGCAAGAAAATGGAATAAAGACAAAGACAGCACCAGAATTGCATAACATTCCTTCAAGAATTGAGAATGTTAAAATATATACCCTTTTATTCACCAAATTTGGGTAATTAATATAATTATATATGTAATTAACATAAATAAATGAATAAATATGTATATATATATTCACGGTGTATAGATTATACTAAAACATGATAAGCCTTAAAGAATGCTCATATAATCACTTTCAGGAAGAAATATACTTGCAAAGAATGCAGAGATTAAATGTATGAGGGTTTTTTTTGATTATTTGGAACAGGGATTCTGCAGCAAGTATTTGTTCTGGGTAACTTTTGTCTGCTCAATCTTAGTAAGTTACTCTCATTTAGAAGATTCAACATTAAGTATAAATAAAGTGTTATCTGACCTCAGAGTTAATAAAAAGAGAAGAAAAAAGAGAGGATGCTGCATCTCCTTAACCCCAAAATTTCCTTGTATGCTGTAGGTGACCCAGGATGCATATTATGGAACATTAAGGTTTAAGAGGAATATGCACCCTGAGTTTGCCCTCAGCTTATTGCTTGCATAGGCCTTAGAGATCAAGCCCCATGATATTATAACATTAAAATGTACTGTATGTAGCTGCATCTCCAGCAGAATTTACTGAGTCATACAATCCTTTCATTTGGAAGGACTGGTAAAATGTCAGGATGGCATGGTTGTGCTTATAGGAATGATAATGGTATAATCTAATACTCCTACCTTCCCCAATAAAATTCAGTGTATCAGGAATTTTAGACTTTTATATATGCTAACTTTGTGACCAGGACCAAAAGGCAGATAACTCTGGGTTTGTCCAGAATTCAGTTCTTCCTGCCTGTTTGGTTGATTGCCTTTAAGGGGGTCACCTACCTCCTCTTCTTCCAGTCTTTTCAGAGAGTCGCCTGCAAACTTAATGTACTGGGTCATGAGGGTCACTAGGGCAGTATAGCGAGTCCGTAGGTCCATGAACTGCAGGGAAAAAAAAGGAGGAAACAGAGAGGAAACACTTACTGGCTTATTCTTCAAGAGGGTAACACATGGGATCTGAGAGCCCATCCTGGTTTTGATTCTACAAGACCTTCCACAAGGCAGGGCCCTTCCTGCAGGGTACAGGGCTGGGTCACCGTATCGGTGACCAGGTGACATCAGCCGGATTGATGCTCCTGAACCAGGCAGAGCTTTCTGGAAAATCCAGGCTTAAACTCAGCTCTGGTCTAGCATAAGGGAATGAGACTAAAACTACAGACCACAAGTAGAAGAAATGAGACAGAAAGAAAACGTTTTGATTTCACAGTTACTTGATTCTTGCTCCCTTTAGGAACATGTTATTGCAGGGACAGGCAGTACTGACAACCCTTCCTCCCTCTGACAGTCACCAGGGAGCCAGATTTACCACATAAATGATGCCTCTGAATCTGTCACAGTGTCCACATGTAGCAAGGTCCAGCAAAAATGAGCGCTCCCACACTTTGCTGAGACCCAGACACAATCCAAGAGTAATTCTAAACAGTTTTACTGATGTTCATTTCTCAAGCTTTTTTTTTTTTTCTTTTTAAATAACGAATTCTACATCCCATGAGTGTTTCCTCCATTTTTCACACTGACTCAGAAAAATGCTTTCCCTCCCAAGAAGCTTTTTACCTCTTGAATAATGAAGTCTGAGGAGCTTTGCATTCTTCGGCGCTTCACTGGAGACTTCTGCTGCGAGTCGACCATAGCTCTGTAGGTCATAGTCTGCAACTCATAGTCCTGTAAAAAGATAAAATACACAAAATGATCGGTGTTCTACGTGATACAGGCCCTAAGGAAAGGATTCTAAGAACATGTATTTTTTTTTGTTACCTTCACAGCAGCCGAGTACTGCTCAGAGTATTTCTGGCATTCATCTATCTTGCTTTGCTTCATTTCAATCTCAGAAACCAACATCTGCGAAATATGCACATATAAATCTTCAGTAGGAAAAAAAATATTTTTCTGGCTGTATATATGGCCATTATAATTATGGAATTTACATACTATGTTTATTTCCATGTGGTCGCATAGGCAATTATGTGTTCAGGTCTATGGCCTGGGCTTGTTAGGTTTACAGCATAGAAAGAGCCCCCAAACCCTGTCAAGTTTAATACCTGCTGTATGAACTTAAAAGGGGTTATTTCATTTCAGGAATACAATAATTTGTTATTCTGTTTGTTATTTAAGATGCATTTCCTTCCTGCAAGGTGGAGTTGTTGAGTTTAGCCCCTATTCCATGAAAATATCTACGTGGCCATAGTCAGCAAGAGCAGCACTGAATAAAATGAGGCATTAAGGATGCTCCAGATCTCTATGCACTCTGTAGGGCTTTGCCCTTTTGCAGACTTTAGGACCAAAAGGACATGGTCTGTCAATTGTCAATGAGCAGTAAATCATATGTTAACTGTTAGCAGTGTTGTAAAAATCGATACAAGAAAAATGGCAGGGATCTCAGATTTTAGAGTAAGTGTTGAGGGATATAACTGCTCAATTTCTAAAAAGTAAGTTTAACATCAGTGGCTTCTACTGATGTTTTAATTCTGTTTCAGTCCTTCATCACATCAGTGCTTTCCTACTACAAGGAGTCTTTCCTACCTTATGCTGGTTGAGTTGCTTAGCCAGCGCTTTGCTATTTTCTGGATGGATTTCTTGAATCTTTCTCTGAGTATCTTCCACTTGCTGAATCCAAGTATCCAATGAATTGTAGGTATCTTTGTAGTATTTTAGAGATTTATTAATACCTTCTAAGTCACGCAGCCTGGTTTAATTTTAAAAGATACACAAAAGGAGAGAAGATAAACATAAAAGATAAGAGTAGAATATCAAACTAAATATTACCTTGAAGGCTTCAGGTGTCCTAATTTACCTAGTACACCAAACCTACTAAAATAACAGTAAGTAAATAGTAAATTAACTTGTCAACCACCACAATCCCCAGCTTGATGATCTTTTTAATTTATCATAAATGAAGCCCAGGAAAAAAACATTTCACAGAGGAAACCCTGCCTATGTTCTCCATTAAAGAGCTAAGCATCAGCTTGAAAACCCCATGAACACAGTAACCTCTAAGCATGTTGTAGAGGAGATCTCTGCAACAGCAATTAAAAGCATTTTAAGTGGAAAATGTGGTCTAGGTGACTTAAGCAGGCAAAAATAAAGCTGTGCTGGAGCCAAGTAGCAGCTCACCACAGTCTCTCTGCCCCTCACAGCACAACTGTAGCTGTGCTGAAGCCTTTGCGTATTCTAACGTGCTAAAGCAATTACCCTGCTTAGCTAAGCTCCTTCCTAAACCATGTTTCTGACCTGAAAAAGACAGTGCTGTGTATTTCCTGAAAGTGCTTTCAGTGAGAAATTCCACTGATGAGTGTTACTGTGTGTTCTGCGTACGGTTACTTTAAAAATCACTTAAATACACTGAATCCAAAAGACTGCATAGATATGAACTTTTTTTTATATTTTTATATGCTGATTTTGAACATATACTTTAGATCAAGCTGCCATTGTTCTCAAGATGTCACAAAAAGAATGAAAAAGAGCAAGCAAATGGAACAATATTGCTGGGGCAATTCTTGAGCATATTTCTAAGCTAATAACCACGAGAGGAAGGAAGGATCATCAGAGCTGAAGCCAATATTTGTACAAGCTTTGATTTAATGATAATCAGTGTCAAGCTGTTAGGAAGCAGCAGAGGGAACGTTTGCAGAAGGCAGTTTGTTTACTGCTACATCCTGCAACCCCCACAATCTGGCAGTTTTATGCTAGAAGTACTGCTCAAACAGTAATTTTTCAGCATACTCATTACCAAATAAACTCCAAGGAGAAGAGTATTTCATTCATGTGGGCCCAGTGAAGAAATAAGGACACTCTGGTGTCTCACAAAACTACCCTTCAACCATCCTTCACTTTCACCATCTCTCTTTTAACTTTTAACTTTTAACTTCTGGCAATGTTAAGTAGAGACAACCAGATGAGTTAATTGTAACAATTCAAGAGCACAGGAAAGAAGAATCCCTGACCTTAGGACATTTAACAAATACTTAAAAAAATATTCTGATCCATTCTGGCATTAATTTCTGATTATTTTCCCTCAGAAACAAGAGCAGCATAAACCACAAAATGATTACATATATTAAAAAAATACAAACCTGTTTTCAATTTGAGAATGAATATTTTGCCACCTCTCAGCTAACTGATCAACTTTTTCTTTATGCCAGTCAAAGTCAAGATCACGTTCCTTGTGCATTTTAAACATCTGATCGCTGATCATCTTGGCCTTCTGTAGCTCATCCTCTAAGGCATGGAATACTTCTCTCTTCTCATCTACTTCAGATCTCCATTGCTAGCATGTGAAAAATGGTAAAAAGTAAGTAATTCCTGAATGTTGGTACTATTTTGTAGATGAGTTTCTCACATGAGCAGTTATTTCTGCCTGTTCATTGACTGGAACGACGTCAGCATGGTTTTGTAGCAACCAATTAGACATAAATTCTAGGTGTCCTGAGCAGGGGGTTGGACTAGATGCTCTCTGAGAGGTCACTTCCAACCTCAGCCATTCTGTGATTCTGTGATGAACTGCAAAATAATTTTAGATAACACCATGCCCCACAACGCCTGCACCAAATCACAGACAGAAAATTAGCCTGCTCATCTGACCAACTGCAGCTTTCAAAAAACATAATAAAAAAAAGCACTCCAACAAAAAAGCATCACTCATCAACTGCAGTCTTTTTTAAAAACTACACGGTGTACCAGAACCAAAACAGCTGCTATATGAAAAATGCCATTATTTTTTGATTTGCTCATAAAAAGGTTATCACCCCAAACTTACCTTCAATGTGCCCATTAAATTCTCAATATTATTTTTGTCAGCAGTCACTGCTTCTTCTTCGCAGAGCTTAGTTTCATAAAGCTTTACCAGTGATTCCGCTCCTTGGGTGTTCTTAAGTACCAAATTTACAGTTTTTAATCTGAAAAACAGTAATCTCTTCTTAACTAAACATGCAATAACATCAAAACACTCTGTTTTTCAGTCTTTTCATGTCAGGGGGTAACTACAAGCCCTTTTATACAGCATTAGAATTGTTAATTCCCTTTTTGTTCATCCCTTATTCACACATATCTTTCTATTTAATTTATTTTGAAGTTAAAACTGTAAGATAAAACGTATATGAGGGAAGATGACTAATTACATACTTATCTATGTAAATGGAAGACATGGAATAAACTTGGTTCATATTCTGAATGACCACATTGAGTTCGGAGCGCAGAGTTGGGACTGAAGGTAAACCTGCAGCTTGGCTGAAAAACTCCTCGCATTTATCCGTGATCACTCCCAAGTCCTCTTTGAGTCGATCCAGCTCTTTCTTCAATTTCTGAGAAATCAAAGGTAATTGAAAGTGCTTTTATCAACTTGATGTGTACTCTACACATTATTCCCAGAATAGATAAAAAAGCATAGTAAAAGTGAAGCTTGTTATTTATTGGCATCTTTTTCCCCACAAATCCAAAGTTAATTTTTGCCTCTCATCCTTTCAAGGTGCACTGCTCCCCTCTCCGTCTACAGCCCATGATCTGGAGATGTCTGGTTTAAAATGAAACTCATTTTGAGAAGAAGTTCTTCCACAAATGCTCACCTCTTGCTCCGAAATCCTAAACACACTTTCGTGTAGATCATCCCTTTCCATAGGGGTTCTGATCTGCCGGATCAGCCGCTCCTCACAGCTCTCCAGGCGAAGTCTGATATTTCTGACTTCTGAGATGTAAAGATTGTAAATAGATTCCTCGTGCTCCTCTGTTGAAGGTATTAAAGGAGGGAAAAAAGCCACATTTAACTGTTATTTAGATTGCTGCCTTGCACTTCTATCTATGATCTTTCATTCTGGGCACAAGCCCCATCTCTTATTCGGACACTGCTGAACTCAAAGGCCGATTTCTCCAGTCGGGTAGTGTCAGGTACACGAGCGGAACAAGCCTCTGGGGACCTTTTTTCCACCTTGTCTTTCAGACACACAGGACAATACATTTTACCTGAGAAGAGCAAACTCTGCTGATAAAGAGTAATCAGCTTTACACTACTTTGTTCCTCTAAGTCATTAAGCACTTGTCAGTAAGTCACAATAGATACTTTCAGCTTTAAGTGCTTGTTGTTTTTTAAAAAGAAACAGAGTTAAGATGACAGTAGCTAAAAATATTTTGTGGGAATAGGAAAATATCTAGGACACTTTTCCTGCATAACTGTCACTCTCACCCAATCCCCTCCCAAAAATGTAAATCTGGCATGGGTTCAAAAAAATTAATCAAGCTGCATTGCAAACAGGCAGAAATAGCAGGACAGCATATCTAAATGTTAACTGCTATTGTGGAGCCTAAATTCTTGGAGGTTTTCTTTTTTGTGACTCTTTGTATTAAGTAACACTAGCATTTTTACATAGATTAATAGATCTGTACAAATCAAAACATTCTTGCACCTTCTGTACAATATAGTTGTGCCCAATGTCAAAATGATGGCTCTTTACCCACCTAGAACTACTGCATTAACAAGATCCATATGATAAAGCTGGGTATCCCCTACACCCCCATTTAGGCAGCAGAAATTCTATGAGGAACTGCACCCTCTCTGCTGTGGTCACCTTTTGCTTTTCTCAGCAAAGTGTTTTACCTCTTTCTGCAGATTTCAGAAGCTCCTCATAGTACTGCTTGCAAACATTCACCTCCCTTTCCAGCTGGGCTGTATCGGAGCTCGTAAAGATCCTGGACTCCCGGCTGTCCTCCACAAAGTCATCAAAGCGGGACTGCAGATTGCTCAAGACCTGCTGGTGTTCACCGGGCAACATGGTTTTTATCTGCAACACACAGATTACAAACCCAAGGAAAAGTCAGCAAAGATGTAAATGTCTGACAGCTGCCTGCAAGACCTTTTTTATTTATTTCTTAAATCAAAAAACAGTATTTTCCGATCTACTAAATTAAAAGTGAGTTTTGCTCGTCCTCCACAATAAACCCAGGAATATACGGGCATTGTGTGGGCACGGAAAATTGTCAATACTTCCCTGAAAGCTTCCCAGATGGTTGTTCTTAGGTGAAAGTTCACTTGATGGAAATCAGAACATGAGCTAAAAAACAAGTTTACTTTAAAATTCTTCTCCATCTTTAAAGCCAGCAATACTCTGTATTAAGCACTTGACATAAGAGATCCTTTCTCTACCTCTGCCATATGGCAAAATTGGGGCAGCCAGCACCAGTTCCAGAAGAAGGGCCATTTCCAGAATGATTTCACATGGCCTCTCTCAAACAGCAATGGGAGAAATTTGGAGTGAATGCAGCATTTGGGCTATTGCAGATTCTATTGCAAGAGCTTGAAGACAGATATATGCCAAGCTCGCCACAAAGTATAATATTAAATAGGGTCATGCTATACATCTAATATTGTAAACTTCAGGGATCTCACAAGGTTCTTTCAGCCAGAGATGATGATACTTCTATCTGTATCAGTATTTTGTTTCTAATCAATTGATACTAATTAGCTACTTATCTGTTCAAAATATAGATAAGCAGGAGAGTGAAAAAAATGCATTATGGTATAATGAACATTCAAGAGTAAATGCTGCATTTCTTCTATGAGGTTGCACCTCAACCTCATAGGTGCAACCTAGATAAGAAGAAGCAAGTATGTAAGGATGTAAGTATGGATGTAAGTATGGATGTAAGTATGGATGTAAGTATGGATGTAAGAAGAAGAAGCAAGGAGGGAGAGGTGGGAAGGGTAGAGGGAGATTCCACAAAGAGTATCCTTAGCCTAGGGAATCTAATGCTCCTCCCCAGATATCTTTAACATCTTTGCTTTCCAGAGATCCCGTCCCTCAAGGGACAAAAAGACGAGTCTGGGCAGATGAGCACTAAGGCTAAACTTAATTTTAATGGTTTAACCTCTCCTAACAGGCATCCCAGTGCGCTCACATCCTGGTGGGAACCTGTGCAGTCAGGAGCAGCTACTTCCACGGTAAAGAGGCGGGTTGATCTACACTGCTGATTATACCCCGAGTTGTGGGAAGCACAGCCAGTGGCCTCCCAGGAAAGGGCAGGGAGGCCGGTGGCAGGGCCGGGCAGGGCACCTACCGAGGCCACGTTGCCCGCGCGCACCGCCTCGATGGCGCTCGTCAGGTAGCGCCACGCCACCACGCTCTTCATGTCCACGTGCGAGTCGTGCCAAAGGGCCAGCACGTTCTGAAACTGCTGCTCGATCCTGCAACACACAAGCACGCCCCGTTTAGGTGAGAAAACCTGCTTGGCACTGGGACTGCTCRGAATATGAGGCAAAAATGAGCCGTTTTAACCTGGGTTTCATATAAATGAATTTTAGAAGACAATGGTTTCCTTGGGACAGACGGACTGCTGTTTCTCTACACAAACAAACCASAGCATTTGTACTACAAATACTTGACATACTCCCTGCAGTTCTCGTTCCGTGCCTACCTGTTGGCTGTATCTATTGCTTCTTTGTTKGGTGCAGGAACTGTGAAGCATACAGATGGAACCATGGCTTCGTTGCCACTCGGACTAATGACCTTCCACTTAGCACGATGGGAGTTGTTGGCTAACACACATTCATCGTCTTTGTAAATAGTTATCTGATATTAACARAAAAGCAGAATAATTCAATGAGCTAGGCATTCAAAAACACCTCTACAAGGCATCTTTGTCAGTGGTGTCAAGTAAGCAACRGAACAACAAAAACCAACAGTGCAACAGAGGGATTTGCTCCTGGTTACTAACGTGGAAGACATTTAGAGCCCGGTGTTTTCCAGGAACGTGGTAATTAATTGAACTTTAGCTGAATTCTCACGTCTGTAATGGATCTTAGGATATTCAAAGGTCTAACCTCAATTTGTCTATAGTCACAAATGGCTTTAATTGGGATGGAGGTTTTGAGTAGACAGTCYGGATTCCTTGGCTTCAGCTGAATTATTGCCTTTGCTCTTCCCACAAGGCCGGCTACTGTGCTCTTATACTGTAAGAGCTGCTCTTTTTCTTCCTAAAAACAGCCAAGAAAAGAACACATCATGAAAGGCGGCTAGAACACAGGGTGGGTTTTTTGATGCTATTAGGCTTTTTTCTGTTTTTTTTTTCCCCTCTATGTTTCTTAAAAGTAATGCATTTTCCAAGAACAGAAGTACTGTTCTGAAGTCAGTGGTTTCCCACAACATTCGCTATTGTAAAATTAATTAAATAAATATATGTTTAAAGGGCATGAAAAGCGGCCACTAAACAAGGACAATTGTGGCTATTTAATTAGAAGTTCTAAAACAGTCTCTCCTTTATTCCTTCCCTTTAAGGGAGCAATTGCAAAGCASAGACTTAAAATCCAACTACAACCCATACAACACTTGGCTAACTGTAATTCATATTAATAAGATCTGGGCATTCTTATTCTTACCATTGATTCCTGGACAAGGTCTTCCAGTCTATGAAGGCTGCTGGATCTATCACAACTGTATTTTCTGTATATGGCATCCTTTAGGTTCTTTAAATAGTCCATGGCCTCTCTGGCATCATTGAAAAACTAGGATGAGATAAATATTTTCATTATTCTCAAACAACCTGAAAGGTATACAAATAGCTACACTAAAAAGTGGGCTTCTTTCAATTTTGTCTTTTGAAATTTGATTTTTTTTGACTCTAGTTTGAAGTAAGTGGTGTACCCCATGACAGGATTTGTGATCTCATGTCCAAATGTCCACTCCAAGGAGGCGCTCAGCCTCGCTGCTTCTTGGAACAYGACTTACTTGCCATGCCATCTTTATGCACAACTCACTCAGCAGCTGCTGAGCATTAGGTAAGTACTGCTCCTACAGGGAAAGATTTGCTGAAGCGATTCTCACTTYCCTTGGAATTATAATTACTTTCACATTCAAAGCACATATAAAGTGTTTAAACTGTAGCAATCAAGCTACAGAACTGAGCAAGCCTGCTGGAGTGCACATGGAGGAAAAGGGAAACGGGCTGCAACTCTTGGCACTACAACACTGTATGCCCTTCCCTGTCCCCAAACTGGGGTCTTGGATGGGGCCACTGGAGAGGGAGATTCCTGTGAAAACCCTCACCCCCTCTGTCCCTGAAACCTCACTGCTCAAACCCAGAATTCTCCTTTCTTCCTCCTACCAGTAGATGCTAAAATCTCCCCATTTTGTATTCTTGTTTGCCCGTTTCCAGACTGATGGGTGACAGCACCKTCAATCATCCATGCCAGAAGACACTGACGACATTTAAATACTTTTTTTTAAATAGATAATGTTTTTCTAAACCAAAAATCCCATACTTCTTCCACCCTCATGTATATTATTGAGTAGCGCATCATTTGCTGAGTACACAGGGGTATAAATCAGTAAAACAATTTCTTGGAAACATCCCTTGTTGGGGTATTCTCTGCTCTGCCTGCTACTAATGCTGCATGTTCCAACTCCACTTGGCAGGACCAGGAACCACCATCTGGATGTTATCCCTTGGCCTTCAATAACCAGCCTCTTTTCCACACCCGATCACAGCAGCTTTATCCACTGCACTTCTGTGTAAAACACAGAGAACCTGGCTTCAATTTCTGATTCTATTTCCACTTGCAACTATAGCAAGTGGGAAAAAGACCTCATCAGATTTTCATCTGCTGTAAACTGAAGCAACTGTAGAAAAGCCAATGTAGGTGTGCTAACTTATTGTGGGAGTATGCCTCATCGACCCACTGTATATGACAAATTTCAATTTCATAACCATGATGAGAGAACATCTAGAATTTTCAGTGAAATTTGTGGACTTTGACTATAATGTAAGACATTTCCCATTTGTACTGACTCACTTCCTTACCTCGAAATACGCAGCATTTTCTCTCAAATGTTGTTCAACACAATGACAGAGCTGCAGAATCCAGCTCCACTGTGTCTGCATGGCAGCTCTATAGGCCTGTTAGGAGGCACAAAGAGGTGTTAAAACAGGAAAAAAAAAAAGCACTAACATGGTTAGGATTTAGGAGACAAAATAACATTGCATCTAGACCTGACATCCTTACCCATGAAAAGTGAGTTGCTACTAAAAAGAAATCCCCATTAGACATGAGGAAGTATATTAAAGTGACACTGAATACASACACACAAAGAACATGTTTTTGTAMAATATTTGTAAGCATTTGTAAAACTGTAACATTATGAGAAGGGTGTCTGCTACACTGCCTGCTAATCCAGTCCCCAGGGATGCACYGCACCAATAACCACCAGCAGAGGGGACTCTTGACAGCACCAAAGCAGGCAAAAATCTCCRTTTCTGAACTCTCAAACTCAAGCTAAAGGAATCTTTCTGTCGACTTTAATGAGCCTTAAACTGAACCATCAACGCACACAGATTATTCTGCACATAGACAATAATTTTTTAAATATTTTTTTAAAGAATTCCATAAAGATGTTCCCTTATTTACCACACACTGCCAATATTTAYCCTTTTCTTGAAAATCTACAGTGAAAGTTAACTGACATTGGAAACTCATTATAATATCTACAGTACCTATATTATTTCTTTTGCGAACAGAAAACTTGATTCAAGCCTGAAATAAATCACATCATCTAGTGACATTTTAACATCCAAACTAATTTTGTAATTTGTTGACAAAAAAAAAAAAAAAATCTAGGAAAACAGTCTGAATACTTAGCAGGAAGCAAGACTAGTARTAAGTGACTGGAAATGCTCTCCTGAAACTTCTTGCAGTTCAATGGGAGGGAAATCACATAAAGGTTATTTTGTGCCCTCAGTCTGCCAGTGCAATTTGTATCAATAATTACAGAAGCTTTATGCAAGTCCACGGGCAGAAATGTCTGTACAGACCAACTCGTTACATCTTAATTTTAGACTTCTGTGGGCTTTTTGTCTAAGCAATATAGACTCCAAAATGTAACCATAATTGTACAGAAATGCTTATGGTTTCTGGTAATTGAAAGACAGAGGAACGTAGGAGACACTGTAGGGTAAAAAAAAAAAGCTCCATTATCCAGCCCTGCCAAGTAATTTCCTATGAGTTAGCACTTCCCTTCTTTTCCCTCTACATCTGAGACCTATTAAATAATCATTGTTTTCTTGTTTGTGCCCTGTGTTTAATAACTTACCTCAATGGTGAGCCTGGCTGGGTGATTTTCCAGAAGCAATTGTTCAGCGATTTCTTGAACTGATTTAATGACTTCTTCTTTTTGATCGAGTTCTCTCATTAATTCCTTTTTTGTCAAAGAAGATAGAAATATTTTAGACATCGGTTAAAACATTACAGGTGACTTGGTTAATCCCTCTGGCTTATACTAGCAATACATACTGCATGGTATTCCTTTTTCCTTGCTATGTTGGTGTTCCTGTCGCTCCAGTCGTACGCAACCTCTTCCTCTTCTTTTTCATTGAGCCAGATCAGCTCCCTAGTAGCACGGGACACAAAGCTGTGAAGAGTATCCAGGTGCCTCTCCTGATTTCTTGAAGTGTTCTTTATGTGGGGAAAAAAATGCACAAAGGAGATTTATAAACCACTCCTTATCAAAGACAATGTGCACAGAGAAGTTGAACATCTGAAGAGATAGGACAAACTTACCAGCAGTTTTGCATACTGACTCTCCAGTTTGTGCAATTTTTCTGCATAACTGAGTTTAAGAGGGGCTGTCATTTGGATCTGTATTTGGTAGACGAGGTGAAAAAGACAACAAAAAGATTAGACATGGTAAGTTATTCTCACCATTAGCTCTCCTGATTTTATGCTGTCATTTGGAGATCAGAAGTAAAAATAAAGGTAGTCTCGGAAACCTGCACTGTTCTATTATTCATCCTTACTTTATAGGTCATTCGCTAAAGAAGAAAGGCAAAAATTAAGAACATGGTGCTTTACCTCACTGATTTTTGCTTCTTTAAGGCTAGATTCAAATTCCTCAATCGCTTTGTGGACGTTTTTGTGGTTTTCTAAATGGCTTTCAACACTTGGCAAATCTGAACCCCACTCTGCTCGATCAAGTTGCATCTTACAAAAAAATAAGGGGAAGGAAAAAGAATCAGTGATGATTTACATGGAATGAACATCAGAATTAGCAGCAGACTATTCCCATAAAGACTGTTACCTGCATTTCTTCCACCCAGCTTAGGAGGTCCTGGACAAATTTCATGTTGACTTCTTCTTCTGTTAAATTCTGATCCACAAAAGCTGATTTCATCAGAGGTTTTCTGATTTGTGTCAGTTTGACTGTTTGCAGAGTCCCTCCATCTACTCCCGTCACGTAACTTGGAACTAACCGYGGTGGGAGGCCCGGAGCAAAGGCCGGAGTGACGGCCGGCGTCAGCCTGGAAGCCAGGCCCGACGAAAGGCCAGACGTCAGGCTGGAGGACGTCAAAGAAGGTGTCAAGCCTTGGCTCATTGCAGCACTTAATTCTGGCGTTAGGCTTGTGGTAAATCCCGAGTTTAAGCTCTCAGTTATGCCCGATATCATCAGCTTTGTCTGCTCTGTTGTCAGCGCGTGCCCCTTGTTGTACACGGAAGAGCATTCAGCCCTTATAGCCACCAGTTCATCACGAAGTTTTGCAACCCTATTAAAAAATAAATAAATAAAAAGCCAAACTGAACAGAAAATCCCTTCAACTACTGCTTGTGAACTGCTTATGATGGTGTTTTCATGCTCAACAGAGCAGCAGTACCCACGCACACAATCTCTTAATATTTAAGCCGCACCTACATATTTATATGTAAGCTTTTCCCTCAGAAAGTATTTGCTGTATCACCTTATACACAAAATAATAAAAATGCACAAATAGCAGATGAACAAATGGAGCAAAGACCCAGGTGACGAGCACAGAGTGGCCCCTAGCATGTACCCTAGAGAGCTCAAAGAAGCATGAGCAAAGGAGAAATCTTGCAAGCCACCGCACGCTGCGGGAGCTCCGACACTCACAGCCCACTGCCGTGGCAGCTCTCACACGCTCCCTCTCACCCAGTGCGAGACGAATCCTGGCAGATTTTGGTGCCACTTTCTCATAAAATTATCCTGGTATYTTTCTGCTGAGAAAGTTGTATCTTTCTTCTAGGACTGTACATGCTCTCGTGAGTGAAGTAATGTTACCCAACTGTTTGCCTGGGAAGATTCCTACAGCTGTCTCGCCCACCTACAGAAATCTCACCTGCATTTCTTAAATCAAAGTTGGTGATTTCAGCTAAAGCACACCTAAAATGATTTCAGCTAAAGCACATGCTACATTGTTTTACACTTAGAATGCTAGTATACATTTAAATCACATTCTGATGAACTATTTTGTTTCCACAGATAAGTACAACAGATCCTCTTGCTCTCAATACATTTTGTGGCAATAATGCCCACTGGAATTCCTGGCAATCTCCAATTGGGTGCTCAGGACCAGACTGAGAAATGTGTTCCTAGCCATAAAGATTTAAAAAACGCTGCCCATAGTGGATATCCACAGTTTTTTCATATAAGAGAAGGCTCTAAAATACCTCTGCACAAGCTGGTCTGCTTGATAGTATTTTCCATCGATAAGGATCTGGGCATCGATGACTTGCTGCCGGAGCAGGTTCTCAGATTCAAGAAGATACCCAGCTATCTCTGCCTCATTTTGGAACTGCAGTCCTGATTCTAAACGCTTGGCATCCTAAAGAAATAAAAGAGAGTCATTAAAACCTGCAGGTAAACCAAAGAGAAAAAGAACCGTATAAAACACTAACTTTTCCATATTTTTTCATAATCTTAAAAAAATTGAAAAACATTTTATCTAATAACTAAAAAGAAAATCTATCGGAAATCGTTCTTGGCAATTTGGGGCGTTTTCTTAAGGAAACAGTAAGCTAAATGAAATAGCACAACAAAATGACCAATACCAGCTGTCAAGTAGGCACACAAGACCTTAAAGAATGTGTTTTTGAAGCAATAAGTGCACAAGCACAGCCCAGTGAAGTATCCTGACGGACTTACAGACTGCAGAGCGTTCCGGGCAAGGATCAGCTTGTCCTCACAGCTCAGGCTGTCCCGCTGAATTCGGTTTGCGATCTGCTGCAGCATCTCCAACCTGGGCATTTGGGAAAAACAAACGAGCATTAATGCCACTTACTACTCATGTTTGACTTTAAAAGAAAGAAAAGAAGAGGAAAAGAAAGAAAAAGCAGCATCTTTCAGAAAGCGACATGCCTGCCACCTTACCTAGTTCCATTTAAGGTGCCATTGCCAAAGCTTATACAAGATTTAACCAGTGTAGGGCCACAATTCACAGAAAGGAAATTCTCATTGGAGTCGGTGCTGGTTCGAGCCCCAGTGCTGCTGCTGAACAGCGAATCACTGCTGTGATAGCTGTAACTACTGCTGTTCATTTTCACATCCAGAGCACCGGTCTTGGGGCCTCTTTGCATGTGCTGAGAAACGGAAAAGACAAAACTCCTACAAAATACAGAGCTTCTGGGGCTGAATTTCCACTACTGGCTTTGGAAGGCGTAACACACCCTCTTTAAATAGGCTCCAGGATGCATATGCAAACCCAGCAATTAACCCCGTGGCAGCTCTTCAAAGGGCCTGGCCTGGGGCGAGGGACGTAACCTACTCTTGGCTTCCCTGCCTTGTGCTCAGGCTTTGCAAGTCCAGACTAGGCAGCAGCACTTGGGCGTCTCTAGCAAGCAGACCTGCCAAATACTTTACTTAAGTGTCACTAAACGTCTATAAGCCAAATAAGAAAAATCTTCATTTAAAGAAATATTTCATGTTTCTTGGACTTGTTATACAAAGAGCTTCAAACATGACAGAGGTTAGMAAGACACCATGTGCCCCACTCCTACAAAAACTTTATGTTGGGTTGATTCCTCTTCTTTCAAATGGAACTAGAGAATAAAAAACCGTGACAAGATCACGGATAACCAGCTCTTAGCAAGTTAATTTTAGACACCTGTACATCATCCAGCCCGCCACTGTTACGCCACTGTCCAAACACACATGTTTACTGAACTGTCCTGTTTCACTCATCCACCTCCCTGCAAATTTCCCTTCAACTTCTTCCACATCACAGCTATTCCAACTGCCAAACAACTAAGAGGAATCCAGTGATGGCCCTTGGGTTTATTTTAGTTCACAATTTTGTGTTCGGGTGATTTTTCAGTGTTTCAGCTCTTTCTTTTTGAACTCACTGAAAACGACACCCTCACCCTAGGCCGTTCTGCGTGCGCATCAGAGCAGAGCAAAGGCTCAGGCACACCCCTGAGAGAACTGTGAACTCTGCTGGTTTTGAAATAGGAGTTTTGAAATAGGATCCTGGACACCGAGCTGGCCACACAGTGCTCMCCCGCGCTGATACGTTCAGGCTTTGAGGTAGTTTTAGTTACTAATAATTCCAATTTTAGCCTGRGTGTCACTTTTGCCACAACCAAACTCCACCCCAGAAGCTGTACCAGGATAGCACCACCACACATCAAGCACACTACYGAGGAATATGGCAAATAAATGGAGCAAGGTCTATTCCCTGACCACACGATAATTTTAACTTAATCACTAAACTGGCATCATTTCATCCAACCTCTCTCATTTTGTAGCAAACACCAAGTGCAGTGAGCACCACTACCTGATCTGCCACTTTAAATGCATTTACTTATCATGAAATATGGGAATTTATGTTTATTTATGCCTATTTCTAAACAGTCCATACGGAAAATAATAATGAAAAAAGACATAATTTAATTTCTTAATAAATAGTTTGGCTTCCTGTAGGTATTTATAGAATCCCTTCTGGTGAGGGCAGGCCCCAACTTTGCTGTTGGTGTGTTGGTCCAGATTTAGCTACAAGGCCCAGCAGACTGTATTCCTCCCACTGCCTTCTGATGCTGAGGACCCCTCTGACTCCTGCCCAGGAGTTTCCCTGGCAGCAGCTACCACAAGGACACTGGGAATCAGCGTCTCCCGGTGGCTCGGGCATTAGGACGATGCTYCAGCTTTGGTAAGCACGACTGCTATTTAAGCAACTCTGCCTCCCTTTGGGATTCTCTCTTACTCAAATCTGTCTTTTTGCAGGTTTCCTACATAATGGAATTACTTGTAGCTAATTTCAAGCACCTGAATCAGAGAGCATCATCACCCTGTTAGAACTAGAAAGGCAGTGTCAGGATTCATCAGAGAGTGAGTCACAACTTCATCCTTCTGTCTGGATGCCTGAAGAGAAAGCACAGGGAATCCAGACTGTGTTGTCTCTACCTATCTGCAGTCTAAAGTATTATTCAAATAAATTAATTTATCAACAAAAAGGTAGTTTTTTTTCTGAGATACATGAACGGGCAGCCCCTCTTTCTGCCACAGAACTCCAAGAGGAATCAATAAAGAGTAAAAACACTCTGAGGCTGCTTCAACAGTTTAAAACTGCTCAAAATGTAAAAACTCACAGCTCCTGGTAATCTCCAAAGCCCTGTGTGACACCCATGACAACCTATGGAAGAGCTGTGTGCTCTGCCATCTAAGCACTTCCTATGCTCTTGAGTACAACCAGCTTTTAAASAAGCCCGCAGTGGGGCTTGCACCACCTTGCTATGCCCAAAATGAAATCTGCATTTCACGTATCTGGAGTACACTCCAAGTGAGAGTGTGGAGCACCAGAAGCCTGGCTCAGACYGTTGGCACGAGGGAGGGTGTTATATCTATATATTCACACACGGGTACTATTCATTAGGACCTGCTCAAACCCCGGTGATTTCTGCGTGGTGCTGCTCCTAAAAAGCACATCAAGATCTTCAGTTCTGAATAAAGARAAAATTAATTAACCAATCTAACAAAAAATAAGGTGCATTCTACCATGGACAAAGCTATTCAYAGATTTCAGTGTGAGRTARAGGAGCAGAAAAAGTATCACCCAGGCCCACCAAGCTTCCAGCAGCTTTACCTTTCCACCTCTGGCCGAAGGGTTTTCTCTCTTTCCAGCATGGCAATAATAAGCTTTCCCCACTCTTTTTCTATATCATTGGGATGGTAGCCTTGAGCAAGTTTGATGCGTCCAAACTCTATCCAGACCTTTAAAATCCATACATATTTGTTATCACAAGTGACAAAACAGAAACCTTCACACATCACGACACAGGTTAAAACTTACCTCTAGCAGTTTATATAGACGTTTAATTTTTGATTTATCTATCTCCTTGGGTGGAATTTCTGTTTCTTTAAACTGCAAATATTGGTTATAAAGTGCCTACGGAAACATAAAAATCGTTGTCAGCTTTTCCTTATCGTGAATATAACCTACTCCCCTCTTCTAATATTCTTCAGTAGCTTTCATTCTTCTGTTGCTTTACTTAAGTTAAACAAAAAAATCACCAGCAATGAACTAAAAATCTGTTTTGGATTGTTCACATGCCAGCAAAACATTTCCTATATTTTAAAAAAGGTTAAGGAGGAGATTTTCAACATGGTATCTTTTCTCAGCATGAAAACAATTGCCTCACTACTAAAATACGTGTGACTGATGCTAGTGCATACTACACACTTCATTTTTGATTATCTGGATTGTCTAAAAGAACTTTTGAAGAAATAGGTGGTATCATTATTCTTCTATCTGAGACGTTTCTGGTGCAGCATCTCACCTTCAGTTCCACAGGGTTGTTGGGAAATATTCTGTCAGACATTATTGTAACATGGTGCCTGATCCACTGCATGAGGTAGTTTACCATATTCTGGTATTCAACCCATTTGACTTCAACATCCTGCCAAAGCACAACATAAATTATAGGAAAAAAGAAACATTAAAACTCACTAGAAGATTCAAAAAATACACCATGCACACTATTCAGTTTTGGTCACAAATATTTCCACTGAAAACAGAGATTTGTATTTTAATAAAATTCAAATCAGTAAGAACCAGAGAAGCACAATCTGTAGGTCTAATTATTGACTGTAAGGTAAGAACTTTGCCTCCTTCTCTGACTCCAGGAATATRGTTGTCAACTAAGCTCCTCGCATGAGTATTTTCAGATTCCAAATCAGCCTTCAAAATCACACCTTAGAAAATCATATCAAAGAAAGCCTTGAACTGCATTACTGAGTAGAATTAGTCACAGTAACAATATGATGCCAGCTTAAAGAAAGCCCAATTAAAACTCTGCACTTGAATCAATAATCATTACCAGTGAAGCTCATGCTTCACACATTGTTTTTCTCTGACTTACATTTGCACTGATGCCTTCTCCACCTTCTGGTACTTTGGGAAATGCATCATAAAGTGATGACACGTAAGTTATGACTGACTTCTCATCAGGTGAGGAAACATCAACATCTAAGAAGAGCAAGACAGAACAACACTTGATCACATAGTTGTAAGCGTGCCCACAAATATGCTACCACATGCAGACAACTTGGATTTTATTTCAATGTTACTGCTTTTTTCCTTTCTCTCAAAGCCCTTTGCAGCTCTCTTACCTTCAGGATCCAGAAGTCTGGCGACACCAAGTTTTTCTGCTACAAAAAAAGCATGCTCTAGATTTGCAAGGTTGCTTTGAACAGCAACAGTACTCATGTCTATCAGGTCCGGCCTGCAAAACAAAACCAGCAACACTTGAGTACAGCTCCTTACCAATTTTAAATTATTGCTGTTTTAATAACTAAATCCAAGAACACAGAAGGATACGTCAACACTGACATACRATCTCATTAAAAACACGTGAACAAGCCAAGGTCAGTTTTAAATGGGGAATACAAGCAGCAGCATCTATGGAACTGTTGGTTCTTCTTCATCACCAGAAGAGCATTAGCCGCCCTTTTGTTCACCTGTATCAGTTGTTTATTTCAATGCATTGTCATTACATTATCTCCCCTTGTCATTCTATTATGWCCCTTGCTCTGAGCAGGATCACTTCTTACTTAGCTCTCTTCTGCTTGGGGAGTTAATTTTTTCCACATTTACAAGGTTTTAGTCACTTTGCATCAAACTCTTCTGTGCCTATTTTTGGTCAGAGTTCATAAAGAAAGAAGTTCAGCCACAGGAACATTGCTATAGCCTCAATTCACATATTCTTATGGGGCCTTGGACTTCCTCCAAGGAAGCCCTGTTCAACCTGCACCCAAGACCTGCTTTCAGATGAACATTCCCACTAGCTCTCTTGCTGACAGCCCTCGCCCACCCTTCACTCACATCTTCACCTGATTCCTTCCCAAGTCCATTGCCATCCTCAACACTCTTGTTTTAAATGGAATACTCAGGCAAATCCTAATGATAAATATTCTTAAGGTCCATAAACACCAAGCTGTAATTCAACATTTCAAATTAAGGCAAAATTACAAAATTAACTCTGTCCTTTAAGTTCACTATGTAGTGCTTGGCTTTCAGATCCCGCAGTTCTCAGCACAGACTGTC